CAGCCATAGACTTTCCTCGAACTCCGTTATCACCACTACTTCCACGCCAAACAAGTGTTCCTTGACCAGGAATCCGACTCCCCCCTCCCCCCTTTTCTTCGGGTCTAAGCCCTTTCTTGCCTTCCCTACCCACCGGTATTTCCCTAGTTTGCTTACCACGTCACCATCCTTCAATTCCCACGTCTCTTGGATCCCCACTACATCTAGATCGCTTTGTTCTACTTGGTCCACTATTTCCAACCGCTTGCGCTCACTCCTTGCGAACCCGCACACGTTCCACGACCCGACTCTCAGCTTGCGCTTTTCCCTATTGGAGATTTTGCGCACACCATCGTTCGCCTTCCGCTTCTTCTCGGACTTCTTCTGACTTGCTTGTTCGACTGCCCTGCTCGGTCCTTTCTTCGCCTCCATCGCCCTCGCCTCTTGTTTCCTCACCTTCTCTGTTTCTATCATGTTCGCGATGCAAACCCTCCATCCAAACTTCCTTACGTAGTTCGACAGCTTCTCGATATCAACCCCCAAGCACTCTTGGCTGTCTCCCTTGGTCAATTTCACCCGGAAGTGTTCATGTTCTCTGCCTACTTGTCCCCTTGCTAGGCAGTGCAGCCCCTCCCTGTCACAACAGTTCTTGAACTCTATCCTCGTCATGTCCCTTGGAATCCCAAACAGCAGCAGCTCCAACTTGTCTCCCTTCCACAGTTTCTGCTTCCATCCTCCAAGCTTCTTCACCATCCTCATGATCTCTACGGCAACTGGACCGTGGCCACTTGTTTTTCGTGTTTTTTCAGGAAGGTATACGGGATACTCGGCCTTCCCAATCCGAGTGTCCGGCGGGGGTTGTGGTTCCTTTCAGTTCTTTTGCCGGCTCACCGACGCTAAATAGCGCCTCCAACATAGGCTCGTAGTCTAGATCCAATTTCTCACCTCCTGGCACAAGTACCCCAGTCTTGTGCTGGGCGCTCTGCTTTAGACACTCAGACGTTCCCCGACAACCCAATTGGTCATCTCCGAAGTCCCGCGGTACAGGCTACTTTCCTCCTAGGAGGTCATTNTCACCATGGGTCGCTACTCCACTTGCGCTCCCGATTAGACCTATCTGCCGAAAGTTTGGCCAACAATTCCTTACTGCTTTATACTCGCCTCTCTTCAATCGAAAACAATGCATTGTGCGTGCCGCACATCTAGCTCCGAAGTTTTCACGTGGTTGGTCTGGTCGTTCAGCTTGCTCGACGTTAGTAATAAGCTTTGCTTTGATGGCTCTATGTT